AACTCTTTCATAACTTCACTTGGGTTTTGTTTGTCTGTGCACTTTGTCTGGCCCTGGTGTCTTCACCCCATGGGCAGTGGCACAGATGACAGAGGCATCGATCAAAGCATGACACTGAGGCCACTGAACCAACAGAGGAGGTTTACATACCGCTCTGTCTCTATGGATTAAATGTACTGCTCCGTCTCTTAGATGCTGACCCTGCTTACAGTACATTTCACAGCTGAGACTGAAGCGATATCCTTTAGACTGTAGAATGAGGAAAACTTGGTTTTGCTTTTTAGCTGATTTAAATTTGTGAGAGAACATACACAAACAAACACCACATACTGCAAATTTGTGGAAGTGATTAACACATTTTATTATCTCCTACTTCATCATTGTATGTGTGTACAGAATACAAAAGTCACTTCTGAACCTGTGATGACTGATATAGTGATAAACACAATGTTTTGTGTCTGTAGAAACATGAATTATGACAGCTTAACACATTTGAAGTGTCAGTGACAAATAGGAGTTCCCAGAAATTTTAGTTTTAAAATTTAGTTTGTTCTTAGAAATTATTTCTGTTTCTGTTGGTTTCATATGATTCAATGTTTTTATACCATTTTCATAAACAGTTTTTAAGTATTTAATAACCATCGAGTTAAAATTAATATTTTCCTTACCTTCATCGTTATTTTTAAAAAGGATTTTTCTACAAATAAAATTAAGTAGTAATTCATAATCATCTTTAAAGTTTTTTGGGACTTGTAACAGATGACATTTCACAACCTGATCTAAATGAGCTATAAGCATTTTAAATTACCTTATATTTTAAGACAAAATTGCTTATTTATTTATGATGCAAAAGATTTAGCCAAACTACTTGAAAAGAAAACCTTAAGAATTTAATTATTTTGTCTTTTTTTAAGCTTCATTGTGAAACTCAGGACATACCTTAATATTTTGATATGTTGAATTAAAAAAAAATAATAATAAAAAATATCCAGAAATTAAAAACATACTCTTCGAGTATTCAAGCAACTATGCATGAATTGCATTTGTGATGTATTTTAATTACTGAAATGATTCTAATTACTGAATTAAAATCTATTATGACAGCTGTATGTACACACACACACACACACACACACATTGGGTTTTCATGTTTTATGGGGACATAGTTTTTATACTGTACAAACTGTACAGTATATTATATCCTCTAACCCTAACCTTACACCTAAACATAACCCTCATAGAAAACATTCTGCATTTTGACATTTTCAAAAAACATAATTTAGTATAATTTATAAGCTGTTTTCATCATGGGCACAACAACTTAAAAAATTTCAAAAATTTCAGGTTCTACTGTCCTTGTGGACATTTGGTCCCCACAATATAGGGTTTACCTGGACCACACACGCACACAATCTCGGGTGATATAATGAAAATGTAAATGACAAACTATAAATAGAAACATAAAAAAAATGTTAATACACAGTGATAGTTTAATTTAGCTGTGCTTTCTTGCTTTCATGTGTCCAATAGGGAAAATAAACCCATTTAGAAATAAATAGAAAAGAGAATGACTTAGAATAACAATTCAATGAATGTTGAAGTTGAAGCTTTCAGCCAGAATAGTCTTTGTGTTTCAGTAAGCCAAGTCATTTCACAAGTCTTGTTTTCTCTTCATTGGTATTTTAGGTGGTTCAGCCGGGGTGAGCCGTGCCCTCGCCCACACATCTTCCCCCAGCCAATCACGAGATTCAAGAGGAGGAGACGGCAGTGCCTTGGAGAATGGGCTCGGACCCCGTAGAGGAGCACGGGTGACAGGGATGGAAAACTGGGAGATGATGTACAGAGACTCAGGGAACGCCTATTACAATGAGTAAGAAGATTAATGATGTCTAGATGAATGATTTATACTGTGTTAGTCCCTAGACTTAGTCCCTACGTTTTAGAGCACTAAATATACAGCTGATTTTTAAAATCCATTTGACCTTATCCATTATTTTATTGACCATGCACAGTTTTGATCTTGTTTTTGAGGATGAGGGAATGTCACTCAACCTGTACTGGTTGACATCTCTATAATTTGGTTTCAACCAAGTGGTAGAATATGGAAATATGTTCTCCTCCAATTTAAAAGTAAAGACTTCCATCAGAACCTGCAACCAATCAGTTATAGAACAACATAATATATATAATTGGAAACCTGCCATATTAACAACAATTATTTTCAGTGTAAATGTGTAGAACTGTTTGCCTACAGTCATTTACAGTGGTGATTTAAATGATTTTTCTATTTGACAACACTGACATCTTGTGTTATGTGTTTGTCCTGCAGCCATCATCTAAAGCCATCCTCTTGGCCTAATCGCCCAGCTCACAGCAGAGAGAATGTCTGTATGACTGAATGTAAGATTCTATTCTATTCTATTCTATTCTATTCTATTCTATTCTTATGTTGCCCTTTTGCCTTGTTTCCATTCAGGTTTAGGTCATGCAACAGTTTAGATGTAAATAACCATAAATATTTAGTATACGCACTGTTTTTATCTTATTTGCTTGACAGGGTATTTGATAGGGAAAAAAGTGTGAGGTTGCTCTCCCTGACTCCTTTTTCTGCTGTTAATAAAGTGTTAATAATAGGGCTGTCACAGTGCGATCAGTATGACAGCTGTTTCAGTGATATCTGTCAGGTGGAAGAACATTTTGTGCATGATATGTTGTAAAAAAAAAAAAAAAAAAAATCACTCCTTTAATTATCATTGAAGCTTAACAGGTATGAAATATCACCAATGAGCAAAACATTTTTCCCTTCTAAAAAGCCATGAAAAATGTTTGTTAGGTAGGCCCTTTCTGGTAAATTTTTGGTTTGTTACATTGATCAATTCAGGTAGTAATATTTCTGTATAATTTAGAAGTATCTACATATGGAGATTTTGACATGTTCTTAAGTATTTGTTTACTTGTGCTTGCGTAACATGTTTGTGTGACTACAATGTGATTTTGAAGAATGTACTGGTCGTTCTTTCCATGCAATTACACAAAATGAAGACTGAAGCTCATTCAGATAATAACACTGGAAATAACGTTAACTTTTATAGTACAGTATTAAATTCTTTAATATTATTCATATGTCATGACAAGCAAAAATAACGTGCTGACCAAATGTCAGACATTTATTTTGTAAACTGTATTGTGTTGACATATCAATAAAAAATATATTTACATATTAATACTTTTATTAAAAAACAATAAAATGGCAATAATTAATCTTGCATACCTAAATTAGGGGGGTAAGTATTATACTAATTTAGTATAATTTATAATGGTATAGTATAATTTAGCAATTTAGTACTCTTTAATAAGAAAAGCGTACAAATGTTTGCAAAATGTAATAGTATGTTTCTGCTCTGAATTGTTTATAAGATGCAGTACATCATAGCTAATTGGAGAGGGCGGTATGAATGTACATATTTTAGATTTTAATAACAAGATGGTCATTACAGCTTCAAAATTCCATGCCTGCATTATGTGGTAGTTTTGAATTTGTGCTGCCGACCAATTCTTACAGTGCTGCATGCAATTCTGTTGTTTAACATGTTACGCTTGAACAGTTTGTGCTCAGACATGCATATTGCTTACCTTTCTCTGTGCTTCTACTTCTCTTTTCCTTCAGACATTTCACATTCATGCATTTGGCAGACACTTAAAGACTTACAAAGCAACTTACAGTGCATTGAAGGTATATATTTTTGTAAATTTGTGTGTTCCCTGGGAATTGGTCCCATGATATTAGCAGTGCTAGCATCATGTGCTACCAGTTGAGCTACCGGGACAGAATTTAGATTCACTGGTCTCTGGAAAAATGCTATATTTTGCTTCACCTTTTACCATTACTCTTATGTAATTTCAGTCATTTCCTCTTTTCTTTACCCTTGGTTAATTTTTCCTAATAGCCTGTTCCGTTTAAACCATCTTCTTGTTGCTTTGCAGTGGCAGAGTTTACAGACCAGCCGAGTGAGCTGAAAGGCTTCTATGTTCACACTCATCTGGTTAAGGGTTCACGGGGTTTCGGCTTCAACATAGTGGGAGGCAGCAGGCGGAGGGAGTTCCTGCAGATCTACAGCATCATTCCCGGAGGACCTTCCACCCTTCACATAGGTAACAGCCTGCATGTCTCTTCAGCCGCCCACTGCAGTAGAGCACTGTGCTTACAAACAAAGGGATATTTATGTTTTCTCTATAGGCTGCTGCTGCTCTCTCTCTCTCTCTTGTGATTGTGTGATTCTGCTGAACGAGTGTCTCGATCTCCCTCTATTCCTAATGGCCTGCATGGAGTAATCCAGCTATCACTGTGTGCCGACACACACATTTATTAGAAAAATGTGACATTATGAACACTCTCTCTCACTTCACTATGACATGCATACTAACATACAACTGCATGCATCTATGAGCTCTTTTTGCTCATTTATGAATACACACCATTCAGATTCACAGTGCATTATTAGATCAGTGCATTTTGCATGATAATAAAGCAGTTGAGAGAAAAGATCACCCACAAGGACATAGAAATATTTATATTTAAACTTACACACACACACACACACATACACCTGTAGTTATATATACCTGAACCTGTAAAATGATGTGTGTTCAAAAGTTTGGGGTCAGTAAGTTTCTTTTCTTTTTT